TTGAACGTGCTCGTTTAAATAAGCTGTTAACTGGTGTTGTGATTAATGGTAAAATATATTATGGTATAAGTAAAGAAAATTCTATAATATTATTTTCTACCTATTGTAATTTCATTATTATTATACATATTTCTATGAAAAGTAACAATAGTGACTACTTAGGAGATCATAATATTTATAGCCACCATGTTAGGTACATGTAAAAATATGGGTTTATTATTATTTATATATTTATACACAATGTATTGATATAATAACAATTAATACGATGAAATTTGGAATTTTTCATTTAATTTTTCTTTGCAATTTTAAAATTTATAATTTTATATACATATATATCAATTTAATATACCTATTATACGTCTTTTATATAATGTGATCAATTCTGCTGTCTGTTATTATAACATTGATTCCTTATTTTGAACAATGAAGTAAATGTCTTATACTGAATCGATTTCCCAGAAGACGTGTGATAATCTATACATATAATAAAATTGTAACTAAGCCGAATCTAACATTAAATATTTTTTGGAAAATCTTATTGAAATATACATTATTATCGATACAGAGGCAGAATCTATAGTTTTTAGAATTTTTGTCTGTCTGTGTGTCTGCCTGTCTGTCTGTTTGTTACCGCATCATAGAAAAACCATTGGAGGGATTTTGATGAAATTTAGTATGTTGATAGCTGGCTATCCGAGTCAACATATAGGATACTTTTTACCGCGGGAGAATAATCTCATTTCTGAGAAAAAATATAAAAACTGCATTTTAAGAGTACCTATACTAAGAGTAATATGTAAAACCTAAGAATTTGGTTTTTGGTCATCTGAACGCGGGCGGAGCCGCGGGCAATGCTAGTATTAAATAATTCTTTTCTTCAACCAATCGGTAAATATCGGCTTCTACGAAAATTACTATTACGATTTTGTTCTATTTCTTTTGATAATATAATAACATTTTTTTAGGGGACAAAATGTTCATTTTTGTATTTCTTTTCTGAAGGACGCCGACAGTAAAAAATATATGAGTTGAATATTATTTAATAAATCTGTAGTAATTGGTACCTAAATATTATTTAAGGATTAATTTTTCATAATGTGTTTTACGTTATTTGACTGTGCTAACTTTACTTAATATAAACGTTTTTTGTGGAGTGGTTCAGTTGATATAAGAGTTTGAGAAAAATATTTCTTACTTATTTATAGAATGTACTTTGCTGTGCCAGCGGTCGTAGGTTCGAGTCCAGCTGTGGGCATTCGTTTGTGTGATGATCATGAATGTTTGTACTCCAATCATGGATGTTCATATTTATAATATGTATGTATTTAAAAAAATATATATGTAGTGTATCAACTATCTGGTATCCATAACACAAGCCTCGTAGCTTACCATGGAACTAGGTGGTGCTGTGTGCTAGTGTCCCAATGTATTTATTTATCAACGTACTAGTTACTCGTATGTATGTAGGTACTTGTGGAAGCTCACATTTTATGTTAGCTGTTTACGTCCTGAAATGGTTGTTCTCGATACTTTAGATAGCATGCGTTAAACAAATAGGTCGGTATCGTACTATGTCGGTTGCGGGAATATAAAGGTAGGTTTAATAAAAATAGTTGCAATTTTAGAATATCTAACCACATTTAAACAACTAGCGGCTACGGTCTTACTATTGATTTTGTTTCTATACAATAAAAATACTTTTAAAAGTATATTTATTGTATAGAAACTAAATCGATAGAACCTTAGGTTCTAGTTCGTTTTTCTATATCGTAAAAATGGTATTGAATAAAAGAATGAAACTTTTATGGTGTGATTTCTACTATAAAGTAGAAAATATACGAGTATAGTTAAACAACTAAACGTAAAACATTGGCCAAATATAAGTCAAACTAGCTTTGGAGATCTATTTATTCTAACTGTATTGCATATAGGTCCTTACTGTAGTGGAAAACACGTGACTATAATAATAATGTACCTTCTGACCGATTTTGTTCTCGGCGTATTTGTATATTTAATCTTGCTGAGACTTGCCAAATGTGTTGGAGATATTGTCTCCTGCACAAATATGCAAGCAAAATAAGCAATACGACATGACCAATTTTTTTTTTAAATAAAGAAATACCGACTTCAAAAAAACACAAAATAACTGATTGGTAGTTTTCATTTACAATAGATACTTGATCGAATATTTTCGAAGTCGGTGTGCTTTGTATGTCGGCTGGGTTTCTTATTTAGTTTTTGTTACAAATTAATATGGGACCAACTTGGAAGTATACATTTTCAAACAAAACAAAAATTGTGCAAATCGGTTATCATCAATCGGGTATTTTAATTATCATATGAGTTCTGAGGTAACAAATATAAAAAAAATATATATAGCCGAATTGAGAACCTCCTCCTTTTTGAAGAAGTTGAGTCAGTTGAAAAGATATTATGCTTAGGGCTGTACAAACTCTCAATTTCGCGCTCTTATTGAAAATTTTCTAACAGAAAAACCCAATGATTATACTTGGCCCGACACAGGATTCAAACTCAGGACTGACTTGAGGTCGCACATGCTAGCCCCTAGACTAACGAGCCTGTTAAAACAAATATATACACACATGTATATTATAACTAGCAGAACCCGCGATTTTGCTCACACTAACTCCAAAAAAAAGCTATAAAAGGTCGGTTTCATACAAACTTTCATCCTTAATTTTACCCTCTTATAGGATAAATATCGAAAAATGCTAAAACAATAATTCATTTAATTGTAATAAAGAGCATTAATATGAAGTTTCAAGTAATACTGATCATAATTTTTTTTGGGTTGTATTATAACGTGTTTTCCCCTGAGAATAAAAAGTCCCGCAGTAAAAAGTAACGTAAGTCACTCGCCAGGCCTCTAAATATCGCCACATAAAAAATCACGCCAATCTGTCACTCGGTTTCGAGGTGAAAGAAGGACAAATAAACAAACAAACACACTTTCACATTTATAATATTAGTATGGATTTCTTACACATACAATAATTTCTCACATCAATGCGACACGCACTTGAGCGATTATTTATTGTATTAATATTTTATACTTTTCATAACAATATAACTCATTAATATTTTATCTTGATGAACTGCAAAGATTTAATCAAACTAAAAGCTTTTTTATAGTTCAGAGGTAAAATTGTAACGTTGCCAAGGCAACAGTATGGAATGAGAAGAGGGAAATAGCTATTTAATCTGAGTTTAATCGAAGTAACTAGTTACCGGTAGCATAACGTTGATTTATGGCACCTTTTATCTTCATTAAAATATTGGCAAAGAGATATGTTCTATATAAAGAAAAACATACATTTTCTGGCTACCTATAAATATAAAATTACACATAAAAATCCATATAAAATTTGAGTACGTATAATATGAAAATTTCATACTTATTTTGTATGTAGAAAAGGGAACACTTTAAAATATATTATAAGGAAATAGAATAGTCTAAGAAAAGGTCTATTGGGAACCTTCGCGTTTATTGGAGATCTTATTCCATTTTCATCAGCTTTTGAATTATATTTTAATTCAGAGGGATAGTAAAGAAGCATTTTCTTAATATATACAATAAATCAATATTTTATTGGTAATATTATATGTATCTATACTAATATTATAAAGAGGCAGAGTGTGTTTGTTTGGACGCACTAATCTCAGGAACTATTAATGCGATTTGAAAAATTCTTTATGCATTAGATAGCCCGTTTATTAAAGAAGGATATATATCATCATGGTACTACGAAAGGGAGCGAGCAGTTATCATAAATGTCAACAAATCGGGCAGACTTCCATACATTATTGTAAAACTGATATTTATTATCAAACAAAAAACGCGGGTGAAACCGCGGGACACAGCTAGTACATGATAATATACGTATGTACGTATAATATAACTAATCATGTACAGAAACCTTGGTGCATAAAATATGTAACTCTTAGTTTCACTAAAATCTAACTTAATCCTAAATGGGTCTGATTACCTCCCATGTTTTTAAATATAATAACCGAAAAACAGACACCAAATTCATACTTATTTAGAGATATATGAAAAAAAAACTGTGTATCTCCTTAAATCTAGTTTATTTATAGTGATTCACTATGTACATAAAATAATAATTTAAAACCTGTAGAGGTAATGACTGACTTTTCGAAAAGCTTAATTAATTTCAGGCTGAAATATTTAATCAAATACGAAAATATTTGCTTTATACACCGCTTTTAATATGTACGTACATCATGTTATGAGACGAACCATTTTATACATGAGCTACTGAAGTACGTTTCAATTATAAATAGTATTGAGTGCGTCCTTAAACGTATTTTAGTTGTTTTAAGCGAAACTCTAATCTTTTTCTAAAATAAAAGTAGCCTAAACTAAACAACAGCTATGTGCCAGTGAAAATCCGGTCAAAATCAGTCCAGCCGTTTCGGAGATTAACCGGAACAGACAAACAGATAGAGAAAAGTTTTAATAATTGTGTTTATCTTATAAGTATCGTTTATAATTTCATATGCATTTAGTAAAAAGCTGTTATTTTGAGATCACGAAAAGACATTTCAATTTTATTTATCTGTACCTATAGATAAATAATATTTTATTATAATATTAATGTTATATTAAGCATTCACGCAAAGTAGGCGCAAAGTCGTCGAGTTGCGGAAACCACCCCGAACATACCATACCATACATAAAGCATCACACAATAAACACTGTATTTATATTTTAACTAGCATTGCCCGCGGCTCCGCCCGCGTTCGGATCGCCAAAAACCAAATTCTTAGGTTTTACATATTAGTAGGTATACTCTTACATTGCAGTTTTGTATTTTTTTCTTAGAATTGAGATATTTTTCCGCCTCTTAGGCCTCTGTAAATGTCTGTAAAAAATGATTGTTTCCAGAATAATACACTGAAAAAATAACAAACTAGTTTGTAGTGAAAGAATCAGCATGCTAACTAATATGTCTTAGTATTCTTTGTTGCAGACTGTGGTGGAAGCATGTCAAAAGAAGCGTCAGTGTAAATTTCATACAAGCCCTAAAGCCTTCGGAGTAGATCCTTGTCCTGGGTCTAGGAGATTCGTCGAGGTCGCCTATAAGTGCCGTCCATGTAAGTTTATATTTTGAATTACTAGCATTAGCACCACTATATTATTATTGTATTTGTTCCTAAAAGTGTTATCATTATGCAGAACGTTATAGGTCTACTAAACTGAACATATTTTCGGATTTGTTAGTAGGTACGTTATTTTTTCAGTTTAATTACTTAAAAAAAGGTTATATATATTATGTCAAGGTGGCTAAAATTCGATATGGCAATAAGATTTTTAGTAGAAAATTGTGACCTGTATAAGCTTTAAGCGTGATTGGCAAAGTTCCCAACGGGTCAGATTCTTTGGCACCGCTATTTTTCGACACAGTTAGCTTTTTGTTTAAAAACATGTGAAGGTAGTTGTTCTGGAAAACATCCTGCAATTCGAAAATTCAAAAATTGCTACCATTTGGTCAAAAGTCACTTGAATATTTAACCTCAATGCTACCTCCCCAATTTTGAATCCACTATACCGTGATAGAATTCGTGCTTCAAGCTTGAAACACTTTTGGGAATTGCAGATAAAATTCTATGCAACTTTAAAAGAACTGAGCTACTGAACCGATAATACAAAGAGCGTGGTGATTTTATACTTTCGATGGAATTTTAGATGCAATGTTTAATGGAAATTTCCTGACTGTCAAACACATTTATAATAATATTTGAATATAAAATGAAATTTTGTTAAAATACTGAATTTGGAAACAAAATGTGAAGTAGCAAACATACAACACGTTTTTGAAAGTAAAAGATAATATCCCATAAGAGACTCACAGCATAATAAAATTTAACGTACAATTATAAAAATTTCATTCCATTTGCATTTTTATTTAAAATCTCGTTATGGGTATCACACAAAGTAATACTCTTCAGTGCTGAGTTTTTATTCTTTAAAACATTGTTGAAACAAACAGAAAAGACTAAGTTGGTTAAAGCGTCAAAGATAACAACGCTAGAGAAATTCAATTTGAAACTTGATACAAAGGGGTAAGATAACATTTGGTTTGGCAGACGAATTTCGAAGTAAAGTGGGCTGTGAGAACGATGTGCTTCATTTAAGCTGTAACCCACACTCGAGGGTGGCCATATATTCTGCGCAGTATGGACGGACCGAGTACGACTCAATACAATGCCCGCAGCCGCGGGGAATGAAAGAAGAAAGTGAGTATCCCTAGAGTTATTACACTGTCTATAAAAGCATCTGATAAAATTGCGTACAATATCGGTGAATCTTTCCTTGTGGAATCGTACTGGGTTGTACGATTGGGGATATGTGCTCGGGTATCGTAAGAGCAAAAATTGGGAAGCTACAAGTCCGATATGGCTAAGCGATTTTGTTTATATACTGGGGTTGTTATTAGCTAATATTTTATTTATGTTTATATATAATACCTATTTATTTATATTTAAAGTTATGTAAATGATCAAAGTTTCAGTAAATTTACTTTTAGGGTGATTACTCATAATAGCTTACTGGGATTTAGATAAGATGCATTCTACAATCGTTTATACTTTTAAAAACGTTACGTGAAGTGTCATCATTATGATTATTAAAATATCATTTTATGAAAGCCTTCATATTATCTAATTAATAATATAAATAATTATCATATAATTTAATTTATTATATAAAATATTCTTTTGTATATAAAAAAAAATTGAATAATTTATAAAAAAACATACATAATATCGATTTCAATTTTTTTATAGCTTGTTTGGAGCCGTATGCAACGGAAACGTCTATGAGGGAGTGTCATGGGAAAAGACGGTGTGTTCTCTCAGCTGACAGCAAAATGTTTGGACAGCCATGCAGGACGGGCAGCCGCACTTATTTGAAAGTCGTCTACACTTGCGGTAAGCTTAACAAACTTGTGTCAGAACAATAGTTTATAAATTTTTCAATTATCATATGACTTTAACCGAATAAAATTAAATAAAATTTTAAATATAAATGTATGTTGTATAATTAAAATGTAAAATTGGATACTATACAGTTTGGTCATTACAATGAATTATAATACTTAGTTTAATTATGTCACTTATCTATTCAGCTATATTGTTGATTACATATTGTGATTGAAAAATTAGCCTATATTATTATTAGAAAACATTAAAATAAAATTAATTCCACGCTTAAAAACATATATTTTTAATAATAATTAATGTACGCATAATAATGTTTGTAAAATTTTTATATAATATGGCTAAAAGCACGAGTGACGCTATGGATTGTTCTACAATCTACTCAAAGTTGTAAGGCTAAGGGATGAAAAAGAGAAAATTATTAACTAGATTTGGGTTTCTTAAACAGTTTTCGAAAGCCAAGCCCCCCCCTCAAACGTGTAGGAGTGGGACTTGATCTCTTTCGCATTGGAAAGCCCATTCCCAGCTCTGGGTTATAAAGAGGCTAAATTATTATAGTAGTTTATCGTTTAGTATAGATTTCTCAAATTTGAGATATTTTCCCGCGGTAAAAAGTATCCAATATATTGACCCAAATAACCAGCTATCATCTTACCAAATTTCATCCAAATCTGTCGAGTGGTTTTCTCGTGATGCGTTCCCAGACTAACAGACAAAAATTCTAAAAATTATAGATTCGTCCACTGTATCGATAGTAATTACTATTTCAATAAGATTTTCGAAAAAATATTTAATGACTCAGATTTTTTTATATGTATAGGTAAAGCAAATTATATACAGCTATATGATTCAAATATCACAAAAATAAAAATTTGACTTACGTATTTAACTATCTGATTTGAAGTGGATGAATATTTTAACTACAGTATTATTTTTTAAGACAGTAAATCTAGGAAAATTCTCACGCTTCCTTTTTCGCTGTTGTTTTTTTGGCATAATTGGTTTACCAATTGGAATTTATTACAGGGCAATCCATTTTTGTTTCGACGTTGGAAAAGTATACAATTTTTCATTGTTCCAATATTCTATGAACGATCAGTCAAAAACTTTCTCTCGTATTATATACGTAGTTTTATTATTTCGTATTACCGAACCGCCTTCTCAAATATTTGTTCGTTTTCATTACCGAAGCTTTGAGTTATTTCAATATTGAATCCTAACCATAGGTATGTAGGCATATGTAGTTTATCGATATTAAGTATCGTCAAGCAACACTTTTTTGATGAATAAATGGATAATTTTTCATCTAAAAATATTGACAATATTTCAGTTTGATGTCTGTTTTAAATCGTTATGACATGAATGACGATACAATTTATTACCATTAAGTTTTTCTTTAAAAGTCATAAGTTTCTAGTGTTGTAATGATATTATCATTATCGTAATTGTAGAGCACACCAATGCATATTAAGCAATCTATGTAAGTGCTTTTAAGATAATAAGCGACTCACCCTCGCTTCGCTCGGGTTCGTCCTAGTGTGAAAGAGATAGACTATATGTTTATTATATTTATTATTTTTTTCCAACTTACAATATTTTTGTAGATAATAGGTCCGCCACTAACGCCATCTATTGAAGTAATCCGAAGTAGTGGTTTCCATACAAAATAAATAGTTTTGAAATTTTGGATTTCCCAACTGTTTATATAGCTTTTCCATATTTTTTATACTTTAACCATCCCTGACATACCCCCACAAAACAAAAAGGAATTATTCATATTCGTCCAGCCGTTTTTGAGTTTTAGCGAGACTAAGGGCAATTGATATATATATATATATATATATATATATATATATATATATATATATATATATATATATATATATACATATATATATATACATATATATATTAACAAATAAATAAATATTACCATAAGTTTCCAAATATTTGAAATAACTCCCACACAAGTGTTTGTTTTGATTTATCATTATTTACTTTATTTTTTCGATACATTACACTGCTTATTTTATGTACTCTCTAGCGAATCACCCTCGGCTCGCTCGGGTTCGTCCCTAGTTCCGTTTTAACGTTTAGTATAGATTTTTCAGAGATGAGATGTTTTTCCGCAGTAAAAAGTATCCTATATCTTGACTCGGATAACCTGCCATCATGATACAAAATTTCACCAAAATCTGTCCAGTGGTTTAGCTCGTATTGCGTTCCCAAACAGACAGACACAAAAATTCTAAAAACTATAGATTCGGCCTCTGTATCGATAATAATAACTATTTCAATAAGATTTTCCGAACAATATCTAATGTACCGATTCGACTTAGAATTTTATTACCTACATGTATTGGTAAATAAAATCATACGAACACGTAGCTTAGGTAAAATAATAACATTCCAAATACATACGTGATGATGTACATATATAATGGGACCGACTAATGCATACTAGTACCTATCACATTGTATAAATAAAATAATTTTAATTCATAAACAGTGTTATAATATCGACAAGTTCTATTTCATCGGATAATATTAAATTTATTATATTATTTATTCTATTATATATTATAACTTATATCTATAACTTTATATACGAACATGCATCGACATAAAAAGCTAAGTTTCGATTTAGAGCAACAAATGTCATGTTTTCTTCATAATATCGAGAACCGAGTATCAAAGCAGCATAAAGTTTTTCCTAAAAAAGGGATTATCGACGATTCCAATTAAAAAAACGATCCAAACATACGGGTCGTATTTCTTCTCTTACAACGAAGTGAATAATTGCATGAAAGAATTTTGCCTTGAGAGAAAAACGACCGGCGGAAGACCATACTTCCTAAACTATTGCTCTAATAGGGAAGAAAATATTGTACTCAACTAAATAACAAAATAGGAGGTTTTGAAGATAACTGGAATCATAGAAAGACGTGAGCTCTCTAAAAGTACCTTAGCCGTAGCCCTTTGAAACAAAAAAAAATGTCCAAATCAGTTCAGGCGTCTTCGACTAATCGGTGAACATACATAAAAAAAAAGATTCCGACGAATTGAGAACCTCCTCCTTTTTTGAATTGGAAGTCGGTTAAAAAGAACCGTCCATCACGCAATCTATTAACATCTTCATATGAGTAAATAAAAATCATTTAGGCTATATCTTAAGCCGGATTTTTATTCAACAAAGCCTAAGTCTAATAAGTGAACCTTTTTTAGCCCTCAAATTAAATTTTACCGCACTATAATATGAATAAACAGACTATATAATACTTTCATATATGATAATCTTGCAAAGTAATTTCTTATTATACTTTTTATAGGCTTAGATAAAAATGTCAAAACTGGTATCCGTGATCGATATGTACAGTCCGACTGGCGTCTATCATGAATATAAAACGAGAGTCATCACAGATCATATCCGTCCGTCTTATTTTATTATCTCGACGAATGTTAGAACGCTTTCATAGCCATGCTAACGAAATATAGCCATTCTATAAATAAAAGACGATATCTATGGGGAAGACCCTTTACGTTAGTATATAAGTTTTATTTCATGATTATGAAATTTTTGTTTAAACGACGTTGACTAAATTGTATGTGTGTATGTAGCTTATAATTGGACTACGTATACTTTTTGTATGGGAAAATGAGCAATACTTGTAAAGTATATGGTCTCTGGTCTGATCCCCCTAGTATTGAAGAGATGTTTGTACATATATTAACTTATTTTCTGTATCTCGGAAACGACTCCAAACATTTGGATCGAATTAAACGATATCGAACTATATAAAATTTAGCAAGGATGTTGTATAATAAGGTGTTGTATTGATTAATAAAACGAGCTTCAGTAACAAAATAAAAGATTATATTGTATAAAAATGTTCCAACTTTGATTTAAAAGTAAAAAGCTGTTATGCCAATTATGCTAATGAACTTAATTACCATCGGATACGCATTTTGAATTATAATAAAACGGTCTAGCATCTTTACTAACTAGATATGCTTTAAAAATGAAGAAAGTATAATTTTTATTAGACGATTTCCATTTGGAAAGTTGAAATTGTGAAGTAAAATAAGCTTTTAAGTGGTTAGACGTTAAAATTAAAAATTATATTAGACAGACTTGAGTAAATACATTTTCTAGCACTGCTTAAACAATTGAAAGATGTTGTCAATTTAATTTTAAAACTTTGAAATCTATATTAGCAACGATTGATTTGAATGTAAACTTTTATTTTTAAAACTAGCGACTCACCCTCGCTCCGCTCGGGTTCGTCCCTGGGGTGGGGTCTGGGAGGACCACCCTTATCCTTATCACTTAGGGGTATGAAAAATAGATAGTAGCCGATCTCAGACCTACTGAATACGCATATAAAATTTGGTAAAAATCGGTAAAGCGGTTTCGGAGGAGTACGGTAACAAACATTGTGACATGGAAATTTTATATATAAGATAATAATGGTTATCATTTTAGAAATCATAATGCTAAACATTATGCTTAAAATATCAGCAATAATAATACATGATTAAACAAGCGTATCTTTATCATATACAGATTTAAGTGAATTTTCATTTTAGCTTTTCACTAGAAGGAGTTTTCCCAAAGGAATGTTGTGATTTATCGGTCTTTTTCTTTTTTAATAGTATTTTTTTATTGAGAAAAAAATATTTCTTGTCACAAAACAGCTTTAGTTTTTACAAATTAAACCTATTTTAAGTTATTTTCTGAGATATGCATCAAAAGTTACCAATAATCCATTAAACGCAACGTTTTAGTTCGATAGGCCAACCGTTAATAATATGAAATGCTGGCAAAAGCTTCACACGATATCGGGGCCGGTTAGACGAGACTCAAGGTCCTTTGGCATCTCTTTATCGACAACAGTATTGCAGTATAATTTAAGCTATCATAGTATTTAATTAAAATGTGTATATATAAATTTAAGTTTTATTTATGTTCTTATTAGTTTACAATTTTTCTCTGTTTTTTCTCTTTCTGTCCCGTTATTTAACACTATTTCCCACATACATAGGTTGACTGGAAGAGATCTCTTATAGTGATAAATCCACCTTTGTCCACGTCTCTTTTAATGTATTTTTTTATGACTACTTTTTTGTGCAATAAATAATATACATATATAAGATTTCGATTATCGTTCCTAGATATAAAATACTAGCTACTAACCCTCCTTTCGTTTGGATGCGTACTTGGGTGCCTTTTGTGTTTTAAATATTACATACTAGCGGTCCACACTCGCTTCGCTCAAAACAAAAACAAATCTATCCCTCAAAAACCATATATTTTTCAGAATATAATCTATCTTTATGCCAAATTTCATCTAGATCCGTTTAGACGTTCTGGCGTGAAGAAGTAACAAACATCCATATTGACATACATGTTTGTTACTCTTTCACGCCAGTACGGCTGAACGGATCTGGATCAAATTTGGCAGTCTGGAATAACATGTATGCTATTTTTTATCCCGAAAAATGTACGGTTCCCGTGGGATAGGGAGTTTTTGTTTTCATAGAGGCGAACCCGAGCGAAGCGAGGGTGAGCCGCTAGTCCGTTAATATTTACGAAAGTCACTAAGAGATTTTACCTATTGAAAACTTTTATTATATTTCTTTATCAACACAAGCTTGCTCTTAATTATATTACAAAAACAAATTATCACGGAATGACACATTATTTTATATGATAAAATGTTATACATTCAAAATATTGTAGATTCAGTGAACCTTCTATTGTTCTAGAACTTTGTATATAGAAATGGACTCGACAGAGATATTTACTACGTCGACTATTGTGTACAATCTTAGGGTCTGAAGTTTGAAGATGTTTTACGTGCGAATGTACTAACTATGAATTGTTGTAGAATAATCTAGCATCTATATATGAATTATTTCCAAGCCAATCAAAATTTTACACTTGATTTTTATCTCTCGAGCGAGTGAACATGTAACTAACTAGTTAACTTTATAACAAGAGCATAACGTATATCATAAAATTACCATTGCTTGTTAAACTTTACATAGTTTTTTTTTAATATATTTATTATTTTATTTAATATATCTGTGTAAGCTCGATCTATATGCAAGTAAAATAATAATATTAAAAATAATAATATTAATTTTGGTATTCTAATATAATATTTACAAATAAATTATACGGTACTTGCATTTATTACATTTATTACATATATTACATTTGCTTACCACATTATATTTGCTTAGAAATGATACGTGAATACGACCATTAAAACTGTAAAAAAATAAAATATTTCAAGAAGACATTAAAAACAAAAAGGACCAATCGCGGTTGAGTCACGTACACCAAAAACGCTACACTTCATTATAAATCACCCTCAAATCTAAAATTAACGTTTTACCATGTCTTAAAATAACAGAACAGAACGCTGTCAAGTCACTTGTTATCTTAAGTCCTTATAGTAAAGTGGTAATTACTTTGCAGTGCCCCGGACGGTCCTGAAAGAGCGCTACGAAAGTGCTCCTGAAGAGGACGAAGTCACTCACGATGCATCCGATCTTGAACACGATGATGTTGGTAAGTGTTTCTCAATTTTATAACAGAAATTTAAAAATAATCTTTACATTCTCGTTATATATAAACGCTTCATTCGAGTACCTACATCCCTAGGTACCTTTTGTGTTAATAATAATGTATGCAGGCAGCGTCATCTTTCAGCAAATTTTATCATTAACAGCAGCCTACACTAACAGTAGTTCAATTCATGACCTACGAGTACTTTTCATACAGCCGTTTCAGCGTGAGCGGTAACAAACATACAAACACATACAAATTAATTTTTATTACTCCTATAATATAAGTACCCACAGAAGTAGATGTTTACGTAAAACTTTAATTTTTAAAAGTAATATTTTAATGTCATCATTAATTAAAAATAAAATAAAGATATATAAGCCTGATAAATATAATATAAAAGAGTATTTGAAAAAAAACCTTATATTTTAAATAACTACGAGTACATAAGTTAACCTAAGTCCAAGTAAATAACATATCACTTTAACAATAGTTAGCCAACCTTTGTTTCATTCATACTCATCCAACATGGAGTTTGTAATTACGCGGGCTTAACAAGTCCGCCCCAGCCCTCTATGAGCCCTATGAATGAGATATGAACCCACGATATATTCATGCGATAATTACCTACCTCTTATCCAATTACCCCGTCTAAAATTTAAATTGAATTTAGGACGATGTAAAATTACACAAATAATCATATCTAGCTCTCATCCACTTGTAAACTAGAATATGTCATAAGGCAGCCTGCCTATTGATTGAAATTTCAGCAATACAAATATTTTACACAATAGCATGATGGACATTACTTCATATTAATATAACGTATAGATATGAACCTTTTCAAATCGTCAGTGGACCGACGATTTGAAAAGGTGGCAGGTACGGGATGGATGAGGAATCCCCGAGATCGAGATGTTTAGCGTTCTATGGGAGAGGCTTTCGTCCAGCAGTGGACTGCGATAAGCTAAAAAAAAATAGACGTACATCTGCTATAACCGGGTCACGTTGAAAAGCTTATTAAAATTCTAATAATTGTAGACTCAGGTTTATTTATTACCGAAATTACACTCACTATTTACGTTTTCACTACACATAAGAATACGTTGAAAGGCAAATATTCCAATCGCGATCATAACGTCGCCGCCAAACAGCCCGGTTATTACCTCCCATTACAGTTAACATAAAATATAACAATGTTACCCCTTCGAAAGGACTCAGTTTGAAACATTCGGAGAAATGACCTTTTTTATATTCAAGATAAAATCACAGAGGAAAATAGCGAAATAATCATAACAAGAGAATTCGACTCGGGTCTTGTCCCAAGTCGAAAATTTTTCTTGGCTTCCTACTCTCAACTAAAATACCATGTAGCACTTTTGGCACATACCTAGTAGTCTAATATATGTATGTATGCCAGTATATATACATATATATATATATATATATATATATATATATATATACCTACTCGTATGTATACTGTTTATCATTTTATACCCATATTCCAATCCGGACGCTCTTATCAATCTTACACCATCCGTCTGACTGCCTGCTGATATTTTGAATCCTACTTGATAAAGTTAATATATGTTTTTGCCAATCCATACTATTTTAAATGAATTAGATTTTAAATAAAACTATCATATCGGATTTTGTCGCGGTTTTATTTTATATTTTGGTTCCCGACGTTTCGAATGCTTTACAGCAAATATGGTATTCCGTATCTCCCGTGAACTGATAGATTCATTTTGGTAGGGGAGCCCAAGAGGGGATTTTTGTAGTTACTCAAGCGCGGCAGATTAACATAAAAGAGGTTACCTTGCACTCTATTGAGTACTTTCACCACAATATAAGTCTTCTATATAAAGGGGCGCGTCTAGGGAAGCCGATTAAAATATTTAAAAAATGTTTTGATAAGGTAGAAATACTTGAAACCGTCAGATTAAGGTGTGGTAAGCTAGTCACATCCTGAAAAGTGTCCAATTCAATAATCTGCCGATTTGCACAAGCCTAAGAGGCAAAAATCATCATAAACTTTATAGTCGATTTTTAACTACAGAAAATCCCCTCTTGGTCTCCCCTACTATTTAAAATGTCAAATCGCGAAAATGTAACAAGGTATAAAATAAATTTGTCTTACTAAAAGACGAATTTCCAATCTTAAAATGTCGTTTATTTTCTCGATGAAATCTACTTAATAATAGATTGTTTAATAACGTAATCAAGGCATGTTAATTTATTTAGAACGAGACTTAATAAGGTTTCAAATGCTCAATATCGTAAGCGTATCCTTGGATTTTGTGAAAATAAAATAATTATATAGTGGATATTTATCTTCATAATATTGTTAAAATTACGTTTTCATATAAATGTTATACTATCTAAAATTTTATATATTTCCCTTTATTGTGATGAGAAACTGAGGCAAGGAACAACACAACTAAAATGTCAAAGTTTATTGTACTCTTTCGTCAGATCAGTACCGAGTCGGTGATTGACCAGATAATTTATTTTCTTCGAAAACTTCGCTATCGAATTGTTCGAAAGTCTAAAGTAATATGTAAATAGTTCAAAACTGTGCAGCCATTTTGTCTTTAATATTTATAAACCAATTTTCTATTGTTTAGTAGCAATAAAAAAGCTTTCGTGTTATCATAAAAAATATTCGGAAAGAATTCGTTTTTTTGACAACGTTTTTTTCTATTTATATATGTAGGTATGTTTTTCCCAAATAGATATATAATGATAATGGTCGAATTTTGACTACTAGGTGAACTAATGAAGTATAAATCTGTCTTTACTTACCGCGTTTTTAGTTTATCTGATACATCGCAAGCGATTTGTTTCATATGTTTGTCCGTTTTTCGGTTTTAAAACTAATGTATATATTCATATTCAGCCCTTTTTAACGTCCCACTGCTGGGGATTGGTCTCCCTTTAAAACGAGAGATCATGCTATAGTCCACTACGCTGGCCAGTTGCGGGTTGGCGGACTTCACATGTCTTTCGAAAACTTGCTACGTTCTCTCAGACATTCAGGTTTCCTCGCGATGTTTTCTTTCACCGTAAGACAAGTGGTAATCAAATAATAAGCTTAAAACAAATAGGAATAGTAAAATTAGATTGAACAAAAATTGACCAACAATAAAGTTTGGTTCAGGTTTCAAGCTTGAATCAAGTCAAATAAATTTTAAATTTTCATTTATATCTGAACCTCTAGTTCCTTTTATATTGATGAATTAAAATCGCATAGTATTATTCTCAGTAAAGTTTACACATATCTAGATAAGTATGAGTGTACATATTACAGTACAGCAAGAATAAAATGATAATAAATTCAAAATTGTATGCATTGTTTTAATATTACTGTATTTATTCCCGACTATAGTATATTTTATGCACGAATAGTAAACAATGTAGTACATTATCTGACAGCATTAACATACACTGCGGAGGAATGCCGCGTATGATTCTTGCTTCGTATTACGTAGAGGTGCCTATAAAACAGTCTAGAATGTTAAGATTTTTCAAACTGTCCCCTACCACATATTGAATAGAATCTCACTCTTGGTTCGCTTGGGATTGTCCCCTAGGTAGGCACAATACAATTTTTTAAATTTCTCGGCTTTTCTGTACTATAATATACATATATTATACATATTAACCTTCCTGTCGAATCACTCTATCTATTGCTGAATACTGCATATAAATCCGTTGAGTAGTTTAAAAGATCTAAGCGAAAGTGACTTCATTTTATACTATGTAAAGATGAGCAATTCTTGTGTATATATAAATTTATTTCGTGTATGTTGGAAACGACTCTAACGATTTGAATCAAATTTTGTACTTAGATAAGAGTTTGAATTTAAAATAAATTAATGTTTACCTATATGAAGTTATAGGTATATTTAAAAAAAAACGCTAATTTTTATATCTTTGCCGCAAAACGACTAGCGAAGTTCTGTCGCCCAGGTACTGCAATAATAAAGTATTATAACAATATTATACTATAAAATTGTATAGTTTCCACATTACTTTGAGTTTATACGGACGAGTTAACATTATAATATAAAAGGCAAATATAACCATGACGAATCGTATACAAAATCCAATTTCGAATGATAAAATGAAGCCGAATGTAATTCAATTGGGAACTGGACGAATTCATTTTATATTTTGATTCGCTTAGTTGACCAGTAACTGCATATTGTGCATCTGTTGTCATGATTCCATTGAAACATTTCATTGCCAATTTATTTTCTTTCCCCACCATCCTTATTTTACTATGAATAGTTCGTTTTACATGTGAGTGATAAATAACATACTTTCGGCACCTAAAATCTCCTGAGAAATTTGTAAAATAATCTTGTCGTATTAAATTGTAGTTCAAATCTAAAACACGACTACAGATAAAAGTGCACTGTAAAATTATTTTGTTTCTATACAAAATTGTATACCCCCTAGAGGGCGCCATATTGAATTTAGTATGATATTTCATAGTCTAATCAGTCGATCAAGACGCTTCTAACGATGTCGATACCTCATGTCTCAAATTAGGATAGAATAGGCTTCAGAAGATACGAGGGAACAGATGAACATACATATGTAAACAGCTTGTTGAAATTATACCTCTACGTAGTTTACCCTTACTAGAAAAAATTAACTATATCTGCCTCAAAAGTAACACTTTGATTATGATAAAATATGTGACTTTTGGATTTATAATAGTAAGACTGAATTTTGAACGGGACGCCTTAAATAAAATAAACATAAATGATTGAAAGATAGATAGATTATTATCAGGCGACGACACGTTTGGCTCAGTGTGTAGTGACCCTACTTGCTCTGTCAGCGGTCGCGGGTTCGAGTCCCGCTGGGGGCATTCATTGTGTGATGAGCACGAATGCTTGTACTCCAGTCATGGGTGTTTATATTAATATTATGTATGTATTTAAAGTTTATATATGTGTAGTGTATCAACTATCTAGTATCCATAACAC